GTTGCTTTAAGTTGTGTACTTTTAATCAACTCATCTAATGTTTCATTGCCACTAGTCCATCCTTCAGTTAATAGCTTGGGATTGCATGATTGACACCATGAATGATTAGTATTATATTTATTGCAGGTTGGACATTTCCCATACTTTTCATTTCTAATATATTGAACATCATAATTTTGAAAACTTCCATCTTTCATGTATTCCATTACAAAGATATATTCTTTTGTAGCTGAATCTTGTGTTAGTCCATAAACATGATTTATAAATGGATGACCATAAAATGTAACATAATTTCTGAACTAAAAAATATGTTGAATTCAGAATAATGTTTAAAAATCTGAAAATAAATAGAAAAACAAAATAATTTACCTCATTAAGAAAAATATTCTGTGAATTATGTAGTTTTTTAATGCCAGTCCTATCTTTACTATCTCTTTCATCTCCACTAATACCTTTCTCACCATTTAACCAAGTAGCTTTAGATATAGTTACAAACCCACCTTTACCTGTCCTTTCAATATTTGTTAAATCATTATAAGGAATCCATTGAAGATGATTACTAGATGATACTTGGTTGCTTTAAGTTGTGTGCTTTTAATCAACCCATCTAATGTTTCATTGCCACTAGTCCATCCTTCAGTTAATAGCTTGGGATTGCATGATTGACACCATGCCCAATCAGTATTATATTTATTGCATGTTGGACATTTCCCATTCCATTCATTCCTTTCATTTGAATATCCATCATTTTTGTCAGTAGAAGTATTATCATGATATTTATTTTCATCCAAAGTGTTTTCCATTGTAGTTTTTTATATAATTTGTATAAAATTTTTTTTCTAACCTTTTTTTTTCCAGCCACAAATAAAATCATCCGCAATTTTGCGCAGCATCATGAAAAAAAATTTTTTTTCCCCAAGTTGAAATTTATTTTTATTAAAGTATAATTGTGTAATAATAAAAAAATAAAACTACTGCCCCTGCTACTATTAATCCAAAAAAATTTGGAGTTCATGGGACCAACTTGCCATTTAGTAACTCAAAATCAAACCAGCTAGGCCTACTTAAAGTTAATGCCTATGCACCTAACTGGTATTCTCGATTCAATGGCTAGTTAACTATTACTATAAAATCCAACCAATTGCCTCCAAATCTAATTGAATGTAATACCCCTCTTTTACCCAATTCTAAATTGTCATTAAGGATATTATGATTATTAGATATTGTATATAGATACATCACTCAGTCCAAAATCAATCACATTTATTTATATACTTTAAAGTTTCTTTATTTATTTTTTGATATAATAAATTTATCCTTTGTTTATTTGTTTTAGTAGATTCGAGTATATTTTATTAGATCAAGTAGTACACTACAGCAAATTTTTGGAGAACCAATTATGCAAAAACACACATAATAAGTATACATAGCTTGTGGCCTAGGTCCTGTAGAATATGCAGGCAAAATTTCTTGTTTCCTGATTTTTTATGTCATTATTATAATTGAAAAAAAAGATATAGGAAATCAAGCTTTGCATGCATAATTTATAGGACCACAAACCACATATTCAAACCAGTTGTTCCATTTAAAATTAATATTAGTATTAGGTTTAGTTAACGGGGTGGATTTACTGTTTCTTTAGTTTAACAGGGTTTCTTGGATTAACAGGTTAACAGGTTAACTATGTAGTTGTGTACTTTATTATGTTCCAACAATTATTTGTTACTTTTTTTAATTCTTACAGCAGCAGACATTTATTTTTTTATTAAATTTTAAATTTATTTATTTGATCGCGTCATTAATTATTTATTATTGGCATTTGGTTGCACAGATGTTTTTTTTTGTTGACACGATTGATTTTTTTTCTTGGAAAAACAATTTTAGATGACAAAACACATGAGTGTTGTTAATAACTAACCAGAGGTACTATTTTTTATTTGTATTGATATTTTTATTTTAGTTAACACAAGTAAGAAATGAAACATTTGCTGTGTCATGACCCCCTACCAAAATCAGTAAGGCGAGTGAACTTTGTGCAGGTTTCTCACTGATTGTCTCCTTTTGTGTTTAGCTGCGCTTGGTTTTTTCAGCTTTTGGCATGATCAATGTTTTCACCATATTTGGCAAAAATTGTCATACGGCAAATGTTTTGTTTCTTTATGCAATGCTTTGCAAGGTGAGGAGAGGCATGATCAATGAACCAGCAAAAATCTATCTTTTTCAAACCTAATTTTTTGGGAAAGAATTTTTTGTTTTTGTTGGGTGGTAAATTTCAAAAAAATTTTTTTTTTATTTTTCTGAAATCAATCTACATGATTCTTTATTCTATATTCTTTCTTTGATGATCAATGTAAATACCTTTTTTCCACATGATGAACATTTATCATGCAATAATAATAGTTTTTTTTTCCAACTGAAGAGAACTATCTGGTAAGAATAAAAAGTTTTATTTATTTTACATTTACAAAGAGCTATTTAATTTCAACAATTGAATTATTGTTTTTTGTTATTTT